TCGTTTAATATTAGGATTTACTGTAATAACAAATAATTTTTTTCTCTTAAAGTATTTAAGACAGAAGCTTTTTATTTTAACACCATCCCAAACATGTTTCAAGTCATATCTATGAATAATTTGAGATCACAATTACGCTTCGTTTAAATTTTATGCCTTCAAAACATAGTGACCCCTTGGAATATATGTGATATCAGGGGGGATAAATGACCAGTACTCTGTAAATATGAGATTTTAGGTAAGGAAAAAAAATAGACATGCTATCAAGGATATATAACAGGTTATACTAGGTGGCTTGAATTAAAGACTCTGCTCAAGATCATTTAAAAAAAATTCCTTAATTAAAAGGGTATTTCATAGGGGGCGCCACCTATACAAGGCTGTAAAAAATCTTGCCCACCAGTGCCAAACTGGCACAGTTCTGATTTTGAAAGTCAATAACATATAGATGAAGAAAATACAAAGATATAGCATACATCCTAGAGAGCAACCAGCTCCATCGATTCCGCAGGACTAAATAATGGAACTGGACAAAAAAATTGTTTTTCAATCAAGGATTGATTCAAAGCAAGACGCAGTTGAGTGGTGAAAGAATCCTACTAAAGCATAAGCTCAATCTATAAAAGGTAACTGCCTAGTGGAGCCCCCACAATGATAAGATAGGTGAATGGACTACACATTATGGCTCGATACATTAATTCTTACTTAAAAGTATCCACGTTCAAACTGCTCCATGGTATCGAGAAAAGTATATTTCAAACGGATGTAAAACTGTGCATAAAATATATTACACACTACAATTTTCACAGCTTGATAATAACTATATATCCTGTCTTGTTCTGATCATTCCTGGTATTTTTAGAGCAAAAATAAACAAATTTTTCAAATGCCCCTCATAAAAGAGACTGACTTGGGCAAGGCTATATTCAAATAAAATAGCATTCAAATAATCGAAGGGATGTTTTATAAGGTAGTAAAGTTCAAGCTTGATTACTTATATAGGAGCATGAATAATTTGGATAACATGGTTATTACAACACTTATTTGCTTTAATTCAAATATTTAGCCAATTTAAGGAATGCAGTGATGTCAAGTTTAACTGACAATGGAGCCATGATGCCCAGAGTGCTAGCAACTTAGCAATTGTTTTAATTGATCCTCAGATGGTAGTGGTCCAAAGAAGGTCTAAATATGAATTTAAAAAGTTGATGATCTTCCACTTTACACTTTAGTTAATGTCATAATTATCAAGTGTGTGTTTTCATTTTATATTCATTTAAATTTTGTCTGTTTCAGGGGATTTAACAGATAAACCACATCCAGACACACAAGATGAAACATCACAAGGAGATGCTTTTGCAAGTGATGCACACACTTCTTCCTGGGCTAATACCTATCAAACTAGTGAAAGCACAGATGGGTTAAAAGAGGAGTCAATACCTTGGTCAATATTGAACAAAGCCACACCTGCGTCATACAATGGCACTCCTTTGGGGAATAAGCAGAGATACCCCTGTGATTTATGTCTAAAGACTTTCGGTTCAAAGGCAGATTTGGGTAGACATCTTATGATTCACACTGGTGAAAAACCATTCACTTGTGATTTATGCTTAAAATCATTCAATAGGAAAGGTGTCTTGAAAAGACATATGAAATCTGTGCATAACATGGACATCTTATGATTCACACTGGTGAAAGACCATTCATATGTGATTTATGCTTAAAATCATTCATTAGGAAAGGTGTCCTTAAGAGACATATGAAATCAGTGCATAACATGGACATCTTATGATTCACACTGGTGAAAAACCATTCACATGTGATTTATGCTTAAAATCATTCAACATGAAAAATGTCCTAAAAGGACATGCAATCAGTTCATAACATGGACATCTTATGATTCACACTGGTGAAAAAACCATTCAAATGTCATTTATGCTTAAAATCATTAAGCAGGAAAGGTGTCCTAAAAAGACATATGAAATCACTGCATAACATAGACATATTATGATTCACACTGGTGAAAGACCATTCACATGTGATTTGTGCTTAAAATCATTTAATAGGAAAGGCGTCCTAGAAAGACATGAAATCACTGCATAACATGGACTTCTTATGATTCACACTGGTGAAAAACCATTCTCATGTGACTATGAATCAGTGCAAAAGCAAAAACCATTCTCTTGTGATTATACTTAAAGAATTCAATAGGAAATGTGTCCTAAAAGACATAAATTAGTACGTGGCATTTGTATTTTATGATTCATACTGGTGAAAAACCATTCACATGTGATTTATGCTTAAAATTATTCAATCAGAAAGGTGCCCTAAAAAGACATATGAAATCACTGCAATATGGACATGGATGATTCATAGTAGTGAAAAAAAAACCATTCACCTACTTCTCTTTGGAGAATCTTCCAAATTGAACAATTCTGAAGTGAACTTTCTTGGCTTATTGAGAGCATATTTCACAGAATGACATTAAGTGATGTTGGGCTAATCTAGATTTTACTTCAACAGACTCTTTTATGAGAAAATAAAGAAGAAATAAGAATAAAATTGGTATATTGGATATGTACTTCTTAAATACTCAATCACATGTAGAACATATTTTAATAAGATATATATTTTAAGTATAACATACCTAGGGGTATAGCCAAGATCTAATAGGTGAGGCAAATTGAAATAGGTGAGGCAAATATAAATAGATGATTCAAATTGAAATAGGTGAAACAATTATATGTGATGAGGCAAATTGAAATAGGTGAGGCAAATTTAAATAGGTGAAGCAAATTGAAATAAGTGAGGCAACTTGAAATAGGTGAGGCAAATTGATATAGGTGAGGCAAATTGAGATAGGTGAAGCAAATTGAAATAGGTGAGGCAAATTGAAATAAGTGAGGCAACTTGAAATAGGTGAGGCAAATTGATATAGGTGAGGCAAATTGAGATAGGTGAAGCAAATTGAAATAGGTGAGGCAAATTGAGATAGGTGAGGCAAATTGAGATAGGTGAGGCAAATTGAAATAGGTAAGGCAAATTGATATAGGTGAGGCAAATTCGAATAGGTGATACAATTATATGTGGTGAGGCAAATTTAAATAGGTAAGGCAAATTGATATAATTAAGGCAAATTGAAATAGGTGAGGCAAAAATTGGGTTAAAGCAACATATTATTATCATTCATTAGACTTTATTTTCAAGGTTTTAATTGAAAAAATGTAAATTTTTGTGAGGAAGTACCTTGGCTGTCTCATGCCTGGTTATGCTTATTATACCAAAATATTTTAGTAGTAAATAATTATATAACACACTCAAAGTGCACGTAAATCATAGCAAATTATTCTAGAATAAAATGAATGAAATTATTTAACAATTGTGTTTATTTAGTTCTGTGATAATTATGATGTTTATTTCAACAAAATAGATTCATGAAAGGAGAGGGAGTCATATTAAACCCCTTGAATATCCCGAGTGACTAATTATCAGTCACAAAGCTTCTCAACAATATGGCCCTAAATACGACAAATATTTTTTATACAAAATATGTATTAGAATGTGTGTGTTTTTCTCTATGTTCAGTTAATTACCAAAATGAATATCAAACATTGTTTATAAAAGATAGAAGTGAAAACAAGCAAAAAATGAAGAATGATTTGGTGGTCAAGCGGTTTCTTAATGAGACTTTGATATTTCTGCTTACAGGAGACCTCCCTCTATTGGCCACAATGGACACCAGATTAGCTCAAAATGTAGTGTTACATGACACAATCCATACGCAATTAATCGATGACAACCTCAACAAATATAGGTTTTCTTGTGACACATGTGGGAAAAGATTCAAGCAAGATTATTTTCTCAAACGACATTCAAAGATCCACACTGGTGAGAAGTCATTTAAATGTGACTTGTGTCTGAAGCTGTTCAGAGAAAAGCATCATTTGAAAGTTCATATGACTAATGTGCATAAAAGATCAGTGAACCAGTAAAGCTTGAACCAGCAAAGGATGAACTAGAAAACTGTTAACCAGCAAATTGAGAACCAATGAAGCACGAAGAAGCATAGTTTTAATCAGAAAGGCATGAACAAGTAATTTTTTAGCCAGGAGCACTTGAACAAGCAAAGTTTTAGGCAGGAGCATATGAACAAGCAAAGTTTTCGCCAGGAGCCCATGAACAAGCAAAGTCTTAGCCAGGAGCACATGAACAAGCAAAGTTTTAGCCAGAAGCACATAAACAAGCAAAGTTTTAGCCAGGAGCACATAAACAAGCAAAGTTTTAGCCAGGACCACATGAACAAGCAAAGTTTTAGCCAGGAGCCCATGAACAAGCAAAGTTTTAGCCATGAGCACATGAACAAACAAAGTTTTGGCCAGGAGCACATGAACAAGCAAAGTTTTAACCAGGAACGCATGAATGAAGTACCAATAGCTATGTTTTAACCAGCAAAATGTGAATCAGGAAACCATGAACAAGCAAAGTCTAACCAAGAAAGTGTGAATTAGGACAATTTTTATCGAGAATGCTTGAATAAGCAAAAAACAAGAATGCCAAACAAATGATAAAACTATGAATGAGTCAGTGAAATATGAGGATATTAGCAGTCCTCTCACCGAGCCAATCAGAGTTTGTCGTCGAAATACGGATGACTTTCTATGTGATCATTTCCTCTGACATCACTGCATAGTTAATGAGCACGTATTTAGCACATGTTCCTCCCACTTCGCTGACTGGTTGAGAAAGAGTCAGAGTGGTAGTTTGAAATGATTAATTAACTGGGCTGTCATGGGCGCCAATCTTTGGGGCGGGCTGCTAAACTGTAATATAGTCTATACAAGGCCGAGGGTAGTTCATAACTAGACTCTGCTTGCAGGGTATCCTTTACTTGAGGATCAGATGTTGGGATTCCCTAATTAGTGATTGATAAAAAGTTAAAGTTGTATTCATTGAGAGGTATGGAATAGCAGAAAAAGTAACTTAGATTTAGGAGAACATTCATGTCTAATCAATTTCACTCTCATTATATCACCACCAAAAGTGGTGACACACAGGTCTCCAACTGTTTTGTGGACTGTGTTCAGCATCCAGTGTCTGCAGCAAATGGCAGGTGATGACATTTTGCATGTTAATGCCTTGTTTTAAATCATTATCTGTTGTAGATGCAATGATATGCATTCAAAAATATGACAATGGAACTGAAATAACTTGTTAAAATGTTAAATAGAAAGGTCTTACTTCGAAAGTTTCTAAATACCAAAAAATAAATATTTTATTTATTTTATTATTATTATTTTTTATTTATTTTTTTATTTTTTTTTATTTTATAATATATTTTATTTTATTTCCAAATACCAAATAGGTACATGTGTATTAAGTAATTTTTTGATGAAAAGACCACGTGCAGTATTATGGCAAGTGATTTTAGACGGTCATATCTTTCACCATGAGTACTTTCTGGGCATAAATACAGTGGTTTTTATTAAAACAACATGTTTTCTATCAAGTGAAGTACCCATGATGATATAAAAATATCAATCAAACAATTCGAAAAATTATGAATAGGGACCCCATGTCAAAATTTTTTTCAAAATATTGTACCTTTTTACTCAAAAGAGGAGCTCCCTTTTCTGATTTTTATTGCATAAAAAGATTATTCAAAAAACATCTTCAAAAATATAATTGTATTGAAAGTCTAGTTTTGAAGATATCAATTTTCGATGACCAAAATGATGCTGAAAACAATGGATAGCACGGGTTTTGCCTATGGGAAAATAACATGGGATATGTGGTTTTTAACTTTAACGCATTTCAATACGCATCCCCTTTTCAGAAATTGTTCATATAGTAGAAGAAACTCTTGATATATTTAAATTGAGAAAATCAAGATCCTCTTTTTTGACAATAAGCCAGGGTGGGGCCCTAATCCATAATTTTTCGGAGATTTGGATTGATATTTTACTATCATGGGGACTTCACTTGAAAGAAAACATATATGACTGTCTAAAATCACTTGCCATACTGCACATGGACCTTTAAATAAATAAGATATTAAATAGGATGTACCTTTGGTAAACCCTATTTTCAATAGTGTAGTAAGATTTTTATGGACAATCAAATAAAATCCAACAAAGTTCATCTTGGTCCTAATTGCAAAAATTTATAAGTACAAAGTTGAAGCATGTTTTGAAAAATAAAATGATTTTATAAGTTATTAAAGTTATTCACGGAAAGAACATACCGTTAACTCATATTTTTCAGCAATATGCTACACATAAATTTCATCCTACGTGCAAACCAAACAAGTCTAAATGTATTTAGTATTTTAATAAAATGTAGTTTTTATTAAATGTGGAGTTCTTAGCTCAATTCTGTATTAAACTATGCTGACTCAAGGTTTTATGCTACACTGACACAGTGTTATATACTAGGCCTGACTCAATGTTGGATACTAGGTTGACTCAATGTTGTATACTATGCTGACACAATGTTTTATACCAGGCTGACTCAATGCTATATACTAGTCTGATTCAATGACCCTAATAGGCCTGACTCAATGTTGTATACTAGGCTGACTCAATGTTGTATACTAGGCTTACTCAATGTTGTATACTAGGCTGACTCAATGTTGTATACTAGGCTGACTCAATGTTGTATACTAGGCTTACTCAATGTTGTATACTAGGCTGACTCAATGTTGTATACTAGGCTGACCCAACATTGTATACTAGGCTGACTCAATGTTGTATACTAGGCTGACTCAATGTTGTATACTAGGCTGACTCAATGTTGTATACTAGGCTGACTCAATGTTGTATACTAGACTGACTCAATGTTGTATACTAGGCTGACTCAATGTTGTATACTAGACTGACTCAATGTTGTATACTAGGCTGACTCAATGTTGAATACTAGGCTTACTCAATGTTGTATACTAGGCTGACTCAATGTTGTATACTAGGCTGACTCAATGTTGAATACTAGGCTTACTCAATGTTGTATACTAGGCTGACTCAATGTTGTATACTAGGCTGACCCAACATTGTATACTAGGCTGACTCAATGTTGTATACTAGGCTGACTCAATGTTGTATACTAGGCTGACTCAATGTTGAATACTAGGCGGACTCAATGTTGTATACTAGGCTGACTCAATGTTGTATACTAGGCTGACTCAATGTTGAATACTAGGCGGACTCAATGTTGTATGCTAGGCGGACTCAATGTTGTATACTAGGCTGACTCAATGTTGTATACTAGGCTGACTCAATGTTGAATACTAGGCGGACTCAATGTTGTATACTAGGCTGACTCAATGTTGAATACTAGGCGGACTCAATGTTGTATACTAGGCTGACTCAATGTTGTATACTAGGCTGACTCAATGTTGTATACTAGGCTGACTCAATGTTGAATACTAGGCGGACTCAATGTTGTATGCTAGGCAGACTCAATGTTGTATACTAGGCTGACTCAATGTTGAATACTAGGCGGACTCAATGTTGTATACTAGGCTGACCCAACATTGTATACTAGGCTGACTCAATGTTGTATACTAGGCTGACTCAATGTTGTATACTAGGCTGACCCAACATTGTATACTAGGCTGACTCAATGTTGTATACTAGGCTGACTCAATGTTGTATACTAGGCTGACACAATGTTGTATACTAGGCTAACATAATGTTGTATACTAGGCTAACACAATGTTTTATACTAGGCTAACACAATGTTGTATACTAGGCTAACACAATGTTGTATACTAGGCTGACTCAATGTTCTATACTAGGCTGACTCAATGTTGTATACTAGGCTGACTCAATGTTGTATACTAGGTTGACTCAATGTTGTATACTAGGCTGACTCAATGTTAGATATTAGGCTGAATCAATGTTATATACTAGTCAGACTCAATGTTATATACTAGGCTGACTCAATGTTATATATTAGGCTGACTCAATGTTGTATACTAGGCGGACTCAATGTTGTATACTAGGCTAACACAATGTTTATACTAGGCTGACTCAATGTTGTATACTAGGCTGACACAATGTTTATACTAGGCAGACTCAATGTTGGATACTAGGTTGACTCAATGTTGTATACTAGGCTTACTCAACATTGTATAATAGGCTGACTCAATGTTGTATACTAGGCTGTCTCAATGTCGAATACTAAGCTGACTCAATGTTGGATACTAGGCTGACTCAATGTTGGATACTAGGCAGACTCAATGTTATATACTTGTACTAGGCTGACTCAATGTTGGATACTAGGCAGACTCAATGTTATATACTTGTACTAGGCTGACTCAATGTTGAATACTAGGCTGACTCAATGTTATATTACTAGAATGATTCAATATTGTATGGCTGATTTAGTGTTGTATACTAGGCTGATTCGATATTGTATTTTAGGCTAACTCAATATTGTATTTTAGGCTAACTCAATATTGTATGTCAGGCTGACTCAATGTTGTATGCTACTGCAAGGCTGATTTAATGCTGTTTACTAGGCTCACTCAATGTTGTGAACTAGGCTGACTCAACGTTGTATTGCAGGCTCCCTCTCAGTTCTGCCAGTGTCCTATCAAATTAATTTCTGAATACAATGAATATTAAGATGATCAATTTATTTAACAAATTATTTAAATCTTTAATCCTTTAAATTTTCCAGATGTGAGAAAAAAGGATCAAGATTTGAAATGTCCTCTGTGTAAGCGCCAATTTACACAAAGAAGCAGTCTGACTAGGCACATGGTAATGCATACAGGACGTCGTCAATTCCAGTGTGATTACTGTATGAAACAGTTCTATAGGAATGAACACCTGTTGAAACATATCTGTAAAATGAAGTTTGACATTAGAAAGGAACATGCTTGATTGAGTGCAATAAACGAAGCATTGAGAGATTTGTGATTCTTTGATCCATGCTTGCAGTGTTAAAGACACAGGGAAGTTATATTGAACACAACATTACATGGCATTATATAGAAATATAAAAAACTGATGGCTAGTTGATGCCTTGGTCACATTTGCTACGATTTTCATTACAGCGCCCGGCAGATTGAGTATTTTGTTCAAAATTGAATACAATATTGAACAAAACACTCAATCGGCCGGGCGCCAGCCGATGGATCGGAGCGAATGTGACCCAGGCATCATCATGGGCTTTGCATGCTTGATGATTTGAAAAAAGCAAGTTGCTTTTTATGGCAGTTGCCAAATTAATTTGACTGCTCTTAAAGGTCCTATGTAAAGTATAAACCATATTGGTTAAATGTTAATCATCTATAGATTAATAGATGGTGTAGATGGTGCTGATAAATTTGTGAATGAATTCGTGATATTTATTTTAATTTCACACGTTGTTATATCGGTATTGTAGAATTGAAATATTTTATTGATTACAGAATACTATGCTATGTTTTAAACAATTTTAAACAATTGTACTTACTAGCAGTGTTTAGTAGATTGTACAAGATTACAAGACTTCACAGGTGCACCACACCAGAGGTGTTCCACTTCACAGGTGCACCACACCAGAGGTGTTGCACTTCACAGGTGCAACACACCAGAGGTGTTCCACTTCACTGGTGCACCACACCAGATGTGTTCCACTTCACAGTTGCACCACACCGTATGTGTTCCACTTCACAGGTGCACCACACCAGATGTGTTCCACTTCACAGGTGCACCACACCAGATGTGTTCCACTTCACAGGTGCACCACACCAGATGTGTTTCACTTCACAGGTGCACCACATCATAGGTGTTCCACTTCACAGGTGTACCACTTCACAGGTGCACCACGCCAGATGTGTTCCACTTCACAGGTGCACCACACCAGAGGTGTTCCACAGGTGTTCCACAGGTGTTCCACAGGTGCACCACACCAGAGGTGTTCCACTTCACATGCGCACCACACCAGAGGTGTTCGACTTCACAGGTGCACCACATCAGAGGTGTTCCACTGTATATGTAAATAAATCACAAGTTATATTAGATTGAGACAAGAATAAATGTGCCTAATTCTGATTTTGGTATGCGCATTAGTAATTATCATTTTAGTAAGCATATAATTGGCAGGTTATCAATCTAATTGTGTGATGGATACTTGTAATGTAAATATTTTGCTAGAAATCGCTTGATACATGTTTTCCACGAATATCAAGCTGGCCTTTGTTTTACTGATGTATTTATAGATGGAATTTTATTTGTGTGTTTTTATTCTATTCTAAGCTCAGTAACCACATTGTTGACACCTGTTGTCATTCCCCATTCATAATCAATACGAAATAACAAAACACTGCCCTCCATATAGAACCTATTTGCTATTGTTAGCGACCTGATATTTTTTAAACACCAGCTCATTCTGTCATCTGACATGTCAAATAATAATGGATTTATTTATCTTTTATTTATTTAGCTATTTAAAACTTCGTTTGAGGATCCATACTGGAAAAATTTCAACTTTAAATGTTAATGATGGAGCTTTTGGTTCATCAAGAAAGAAAATCCATCATTCGTAACATATACTTTCATTCCATCATACTGACAGGACTTAATCAATATCTTTTGTTAGTTTTTGTAGAGAACTTTATGATTCGTAGCATTGAAATCATTAATTAAAGAATGGAGATCCTGTCAAGACCTGTCAGAGATTTTATTGAGTATAAATTATTATTACAAATTGTTGATAGGTAAATCTAATTCTGCTCTGAAACGACCTGCTAACATTTTATTAAAAGTAGAAGAATTACACCACTTGGACCAGCCAAAAAGTGTTTAGATTAACAAGTGTTTAAAACTGTTCACATTGAGAGATGTTCGGAGTATAGGTTTCATTGTATGCCTTATACTATTCCAAATTATGACTTACGATCCCAGCCTTTACGATTCGTTCTATATTTACGCGCGATCAAAGTTATAATAATGTGATCAAGAAATATGATTACAGTAGAGCCTGTATATCTGAACACCTGGCTTATCCGAACACCTCCCAATCTAAAAAATTTTCCGGTCCCATTTTTCCTCCCATTGACTCCCATGTTAAAAAGACTTGAAATGTGAACACCTCTCAATTTGAACAGTGAACAGTCATATTTGAACAATAGGATAGTTTCTAAATAGCAGAAAAATCAATGAAATCTCGTGCTGCCATCTTTTATTCAGCTTTTAACTTGGGCTAGAGCTCCATTCACTTACATGCTAAAATCTTGGAAAAGTGGCTTAATTTCATGATTTATCAAAGTGTGTTTGTTGAATCTGTATATAACTTGAATGATATACCACATGCTGACCCTGTTTATGTACATGTTGTGATTAAACATGCAAATGTTGATTGACATACAAATAATCCACGGTTTTAAAGAATTTTAGCATTGCATCTATGGACATTTGGCCCAAGTTTTTTTAAATTGTCATAGAAAATTATTCAAATTACATAACTGTGTAAATCAAAGCTATTTTAGGAGAAAACATTTCACTGAATTCAAATATACCATTTAAAAGAAGGTAATGTAAGTCATTAGAGGTCTAATATGCAAGTCTCTTAAAATCTCACGAAAAACGAGATTTAGCGAGATTTCAAAAGCTATATGGAAACTATACTATTAACCGGTCTAATCTGAACACTAAAATTTCACGTTTCATACAAAATTGCTCAAATATTGTAATGATATCAAAACTTTGGGATAAAAACTTGGTCTTGATTGAAATCGGGCTTTCCAGCATGACTAGATTCATTTGAATCAAATGATGAATTTTCTGATATGCTGCAAAACTATGTGGTCAAATGAACTTCAAATATGTACCGAGAATTGTCACATTCCTTCAGAATCCGGAATCTCGCGAATGCAAAAACCTTGAAATGTAAACACCTCCTAATCTGAACTCTTTAAGCCGGTCCCAATGGCGTTCGGATTAGACAGGTTTTACTGTATATCTTTCAATATGCTGTAAATCAAAATGGCACAAATACTCTTGTAAAAATCAATCCTTATGCTTTCAGTTTAATGTTATTGGCTCCAATGTAAATTGCTTACTGTGTCAGTCCATCCTAAGAGACCATGGCCTTCTATCAGCTCCTTTTTATGCCCTTCTCTTATATTGCTACTTGCAAAATCAGAAAGATCTGATGAGTGTCAAATGATTATCCAATCATAAATTTTTGAGTCATAAATATTGTGTTAAATGATTTAGTTTAAAATAATTAAAGTATTGTATAAGTATTAAATAATAATAAAGTAAAGATCATTGAGTTATGTTATATTATTATCAAAAGCTGTGTATGTATTATTTATGCTTTTTATATCATTTTTCAGCTCCAACACCTGGTTTTTATATACACGTGGCCAAAGACAATTCAGCAATATCGACCAACCCGAAAGAGCCTCTTGCAATTGCTGTTTGCGAGGTCTGTCGAAAGACATTTGCAAGCAAAGGGAATCTACTGAGACATATGTTGATTCATACTGGAGAGAAGCCATTTAAATGTGACCTTTGTAGTAAAAGCTTCAATCAGAAAGTTACATTAGAGTCACACGTAAGAACTTTTCATCCATGAAGAACTTTTCATTCTAGACAATAGGGAGGTTAAGATACACGTTTTTTAAACTTGTACGTGAACGTGTAGAATTATGGTCCTCCGTTAGTCCTCCCATTTGTACAGTTTACTTGGCCGATTGAGTATAAATGTATACGGAAAACAATTGTAACTAAGTCCCTGGAAAAGTGAATTGAGAGTGGGACAGATATCCTCGGGGGTCGAAAATATTACATGCTCACAGGTTCTTTTAAAAACGTGTAACTTAACCTCCTTAATGTTTAGTGAGAGAGCACCGATGTAATACAACCGAAGATTTTTATATTACGAAGATGGCCGAAGATGCTTCAAGGAACCAATCAAATTCCTTGAAGCATTTTCGGCCATCTTCGGTAGCAGTACAAACATCCTCGGCCATCTTCGATTTCGGTCCAAAAACCGTAACCCAAATCAGACTGATCCACTCAAGAAGAAAATGGGTTGTGCCCGATGGCCGGAACTCTGTACATTACACACTTTGAGAATGTACCATGAAAATTAAATATTCATTGAGATAAACAACCAGAGAGATATTATTTTGAACTATGTAATCATCATTATTCATTCTTACCAATAAACACAATAAATGATTTTATGGAGGGTGACATTGGTAAATGAGATATTGATTTTTTCTAGAAATTCATGTATTATATTGATTTATATATACTTATCTTATTTATAAGTAAATGTAACAATTTTGCAATATTTGTGAAATACGATCTCTGGTATTTGGAATGATAAATATGCATGAATATAAAAGCAACAACTTTCACCGTTCCCTTAATTGGCCAACATCTTTGAAAGATGTGTTTTTATTTTCTAACAAAAGCCACAAAATAGCACATTCATTTGAATTAGGCCTACTTAATCATAAAATCAGTAAATGTATGAAATGAAATTCTTGATTCTAGAATTTATTTTTTTAAGACGGTAACTATGATACATACTTCAAGAGAAAATGATGGGGCGAATGTATCATTATTTATAATAAACACAATAATTGATTTTATGGAGGTCGACATTGGTAAATGAGATATTGATATTTTCTTGAAATTCATGTATTATATTCATTGATAATTTTTCTTATTTTGTAAGTACATATAACAACATAACGATATCTGTGATCCCTGATATTTGGAATGAAAGCAACAATTCCCTTATTTGGCCAACATCTTTGAAAGATGTGTTTTTATGTTTCAAAATGGCCCATTCATTTAATTAGGTCTATTTAATCAATAAGATCAGTGAATGTATGAAATTAAAATCTTGTTTCCACTCCAAGATAAAGTGATGAGGCAAATGTCATCATGACCGATGGTAAAAAATTTTTTGTAAGTATGTTTATGTCGCAGTATGTCACCGAAAGTAAATATTATGAAATTAGAACTTGTTTTTGTTTAATATTTGCTGATGTCATTTACATATTTTGTAATGGCAGTCTTTATATCAATGTCTTGTCTTTTCAATAAATATACCAGTATTGGACTCTCAGGCCATGACAAAGAGTGCGTAACGATCATTTACAGATATAATTACGATGGTGATTGCAGGAAAGAAACACATGTCTTGTATTGTACTTTGGTAAACGCCATACTTTGGCGAGCAATAGTGTACCTCATTGGTATATTTCCGTATCTTGCGTGTTTTACACTCAAAGACAGAGCCAGAAACCGCTCCTTGGAGGGGCCCTGAGTTATTTTATGTGCACCGACAAACACGTACACACAGAATATATTTATAATCAATGAACTTTCATTATAAATACATGTATTTCTTTTTGTCTATTTTAAACAGCCAACAAGTCGAATACTAAGTTTATTGATTTATATATTAAATACTTTTATCGCCTTCATTTGAAGTATCTGTAGAAATAGTGTTTGATAGGTTAGATGAACCTCAGAAAGATAATAGTAGCAAACTCAACTATGATAAGGAGATACAAATTGTAGGTACTCGAATTATGCAAGTGTTTTGTAATAAATTCACTTTTATGTATATATTTTCATGCCAGTGAACTGTCAGTCAAAGGAATAAATGTAAATGTCCACATCTAATAGAACAAGCAAAATTACACCACCTGGCATTACAGACGCCGAACACCGTCCACAACAATATGTCACTATTTGTGGCCGTGGCATAAAACTGAACGTATACCCTATCTCTGATATGATTCATTTCATTGGCTAGGTCTGATTTCCACTCAAGCAGTTATTGCCAACATGATAAAACATGTCTTTTTATTAGTTTCTTTCGAGAAAACATATTTTTCGTGAAAAACCAAAAGAGGCGATGAGTATCAGAATGAGTTATTACAATTACCAGAGTTCAAATATGGCTTGGAATGATTACTATACGGATAGACCTCTGATTATAGATGGTGCGCTTAATGAGATAAATGTTGAAGAACTCATTACCACCTTCCATCGCCGATTGCGCAGGGATCGTGATTGCCTCAACTTACTCTCCTTTCGAATAAACAAGCACAGCTCACCGTATCGACCCATGTGGTCAATGTTCAATTTAAATATACGAATTTTAAAAGTTATCAAATTTGCACTGTAATTTTAGTTAATTTAAGCTGGGGTTTACTAGTGAAACACGAGTCAGAGTTGTCGAACCCTTTGAGAGGGTTGTACGGATGGATTTCCAAAGCGAACAACTCAAACATTTGAATTCCGAGACATATTTCTGGATCTCTGGGCCATGTGTTTTGGTTATTTCTATCACTGGGTTTCTTGAATTCCTATTGGATAAAAACAAAACTGACCCAGTATAGATTATCGCTATCGAAAAGTCTTGCGTTTCTATATAATCAATTGGCAGATCGACACACGGTGAGTATTGGGGCACGTCCTAACATCACCAACGATAATCCATATATTGAAGTATTCATTGTACGTGTTCTACCGATTTCCCTATAATCAGACTTGTGGCATTGACTTCCGATGAAATACGTCTTCATTAGAGAAACCTCAATCCTTAAATTACTATTCCACAAAGGATTCAATGAATGATTTCACATAAAACCTCAAGTCCAATTGATGCTTCTTGATAAGTATTATATCGATAACAGGAACTTACTGAGTCTCTAGCTTACTAATAGAGAAGGTTTTGGGCCTAAGTAAACAGGAACATGTATCTATGATTTTCAGTAATTTTAATTTGACGTAATGTGGATCATTTTATTAGTTCTGCATCCGTTGTCAATTTCAATTACATGCATCTTTGAAAGGTTATCTTGCCAGTATACCCTTGGTAAAGGGAGTATAACTGTCAGTAGACCCTTGGTAAAGGGAGTATAACTGTCAGTAGACCCTTGGTAAAGGGAGTATACCTATCAGTAGACTCTTTGTAAAGGGAGTATAACTATCAGTAGACCCTTGGTAAAGGGAGTATAACTATCAGTAGACCCTTGGTAAAAGGAGTATAACTATCAGTATACCCTTTGAAAAGGGAGTATAACTGTCAGCAGACCCTTGGTAAAGGGAGTATAACTGTCAGTAGACCCTTGGTAAAGGGAGTATAACTGTCAGTAGACCCTTGGTAAAGGGAGTATAACTGTCAGTAGACCTTTGGTAAAGGGAGTATTACTGTCAGTAGACCTTTGGTAAAGAGAGTATAACTGTAAGTAGACCCTTGGTAAAGGGAGTACAACTATCAGTAGACCTTTGGTAAAGGGAGTATAGCTATCAGTAGACCTTTGGTAAACGGAGTATAACTGTCAGTCGACCTTTGGTAAAGGGAATATAACTGTCAGTAGACCCTTGGTAAAGGGAGTATAACTGTCAGTCGACCTTTGGTAAAGGGAGTATAAATGTCAGTAGACCTTTGGTAAAGGGAGTATAACTGTCAGTAGACTTTTGGTAAAGGGAGTATAACTGTCAGTAGACCTTTGGTAAAGGGAGTATAACTATCAGTAGACCCTTGGTAAAGGCAGTATAACTGTCAGTAGACTTTTGGTAAAGGGAGTATAACTATCAGTAGACCCTTGGTAAAGGGAGTATAACTGTCAGTAGACCCTTGGTAAAGGGAGTATAACTGTCAGTAGACCTTTGGTAAAGGGGGTATAACTGTCAGTAGACCCTTGGTAAAGGGAGTATAACTGTCAGTAGACCCTTGGTAAAGGGAGTATAACTGTCAGTAGACCTTTGGTAAATGGAGTATAACTGTCAATAGACCCTTGGTAAAGGGAGTATAACTGTCAGTAGACCCTTGGTAAAGGGAGTATAACTGTCAGTAGACCTTTGGTAAAGGGGGTATAACTGTCAGTAGACCCTTGGTAAAGGGAGTATAACTGTCAGTAGACACTTGGTAAAGGGAGTATAACTGTCAGTAGACCCTTGGTAAAGGGAGTATAACTGTCAGTAGACCTTTGGTAAAAGGAGTATAACTATCAGTAGACCTTTGGTAAAGGGAGTATAACTGTCAGTTGACCTTTGGTAAATGGAGTATAACTGTCAGCAGACCTTTGGTAAAGGGAGTATAACTGTCAGTAGACCTTTGGTAAAGGGAGTTTAATTGTCAGTAGACCTTTGGTAAAGGGAGTATAACTGTCAGTAGACCTTTGGTAAAGGGAGTATAACTGTCAGTAGACCTTTGGTAACGTCCACATAGCGATATAACTGCATGTTAGTAGATCATGGGTAGAATTCACATCAGCGATGTACTATATCTAGTAACTAGTAGATTTACATCTTTGATAAGTTAACATAGTCGACAGAACTCCCCTTCCCAACTTACATGACAATCATGATATTTTTGCGAGTTAACCGAGGTGATATTGCAAGTGACACATGTCACTGATAGAGGAGTTGTAACACGATGGAATATTTAATTCGACATCTTGGTTGTTTCTAAAAAGTTACAAAGGAGACTATTGCACTGTATTTATTACCGCTAAGGACGTTAATGTATAAGATTAAATGTGTTTATGTTTGATTTGAAAAACACAACTACACTGCGACACACCTTCAAGAACATTCCATACGCAATGGTGATCCGCTCTATTACGCTGGTTACCGAAACGGTTCAAAATGTTGGAATGTCAGAGGTACGATTTTTCTTTTTTACTTATTTCACGCGTTGTAGGTAGAATTCCCACGACATTTTGTCACACAAACGTGTGTCAGCATCATATGCTTTAGAAAAGGTACATGTTTGCGAAAAGAAAAATCGTACCTTCGGTAAGCAGCGTAATCGAGTGGATCACTAGTGAAACGATCAATGTAAGGGTCCCGGGTGATATTGCAAGTAATGCATGTCACTGATAGAGAAGTTGTAACACGATGGAATATTCAATTCGACATCTTGGTTGTCTCTAAAAAGTTACAAAGGAGACTGTTGCAATGTATTTATTAACGCTAAGGGTCAAATGGGTTTATGTTTGATTTGAAAAACACAACCTACACTGCGACACACCTTCTAGTCCTAGAACATTCCATACGATCAATGTAAGATGTCGATGAGGGGATATTGAGGGGTTTGCTTTTAGATGATTCCACAATCCACATCGATTTATTCATTCCTGAGGATTTTCATTCGTGCACAAGTTGTAGAAACATATAAACATATAGAAAGTTAGAAACTGTCATGTACAGGGTGGTAAAAAAACTGGAAACCCTTACACCGTTTTCCTTATATCTTTATCATTTTAAGAAATAACTTTACACATTTGTACATCATTCAATTTCCTACCGGCCTACTATATGTCATGACCATCAGGGGGTCATTAACAGAAACTTAGTAAAGTTACGAATTCGTAAATCAATTGTTGTAACCAACGGATATAATGACGTCACAGTTAGAGAGCAATGGGTATTACGAATTCTTAACTTTACGAAGCTTCTGTTAATGTCCCCCAGATTGATAGTGACAGTGTTACAGCACTTTAAAGAACACTCCCGGTGGCCACTATTGCGGCATAGAAAAATCTGCACATGTCGTCCAAAATGTCCCTACCTATGGGGCTATGGCAGAGATAGAGTGTATAAGAATGACCCCAGGGCAATCGCAGACCTCAAAAGTGAGATCATCTGTATTTTTCAGGCCATACCTGCTGAGGAATGCATTTGGGTCATTGACAACTATGCAGGTTTGCCTACAGCGCAAAGATGGCCAAACCTGAAGCATGTTGTTCAAAGTGCTGTAAAATCTTGACTATCAGTCTGATGGTCTTGAAATATGGTAGGGTAATAGGAAATTGAATGATTTACAAATGAGTGAAATATCAGGGAGTAATTTCTTAAAATGACAAAGATATGACAAAAATGCAGGGTTTCCATTTTTTAGCCACCCTGTATTAGTCATAGTCTGCACAAAGTGAAATGATGCACAGCATTTAAAGATATAGGTATCAGGGAGGGGGAACACAAACCAAACAGTCCTATATTGTTGTCTATATTTTTTCCATCAATTTGTATTAATAATTAAGAACATTATCTATATATTGATGGGCCAATGATCTCCCAATGTAATCGGACTCCATGTATTGGTTGAATTGAGTGATATTGACAGGTCACGTTAGTTCATTGGCCTTGAAAAGGAAAACAACCTTTTTCATGGGCGTTTTAAGGTGAGAGTGAACTTGTCAATAAATTTTCAAAATGGCCGAAACAGGGAGCACATTTTTTAGTTTATTTTGTCTATCAGAATATCTTTCATTGTGACTTTATCTCAATTTTGTTGGTCTAACTATCATTTATATGACCGAGCTCACTCTGGTGAAGTAAATAGAGACACTGGACATTTTGAAATTAGAAATTAATTCATCTGAAAGAAAAAGAATAGGAAAAGTCCATAGGCAATTTTTGAAAAATTTCTCAGAAACGTCACTGATATAAATCCTCAAAACAAACGAGCTTTAGAATTTGTTTGAGCCAATTTTTCCAAATGCGTTGCTTGTTCGGTTTTAATATTTGTTTGAAGAATATTTTGTGCAATTTTCATTTTGGATAAGCGTTTTTTTTACGTTCTATTGCTCGAAGAAATTGTCTCATTTCTGTCTTCATTTGACAACTTTTTTTTATCATACTTCAATTTTAATATTCTTTACACTATTTATAATGATAATATTGCACAAACACCTGTGAAACAAGAGAAATGGCTTGTCAGGAAGAGAAAAATTCAGTCTTGCACTTTTTCAATTTTCCTATTCACTTTCTGTTCATCTAAGCGCATTTGGCGGTGCTTGTTTGACAAGCATGTTAAAATTGGAGTTGCAATTCATATTTTCATGAAAATAGTATATTAATAAAACATTGAAAACAAACCCCAACATCCCAACAAATGATCTTACGTATACGAACAAAGAACACCTAAGATTGAATGATATATCTTCTAGAACCAATGAGTATCTAAACCTACAACTTGGGTAGCAGAAAGGCCAGGCTTGAATTGCTATATTGTATTTCGGGTCTGTCGATCTTCGGGTACCAAATGTAGCAAACGGGGAAAGATAAAATATAAGAAACATTTATTCACGGGGGTAAAGCAGACCCGATGATGCAATGAGCTTGCTCGGCGGTATCATGACTGTGTAACGGGTCTTAATGTATAAGTGTGCTCGGCGGTAGGTTCAAACAACGCGGATCCTCAAAGCATGTGCTCATGGTATATTCGTGTTTTAACACCCGTGTTTATTTTATTGCCTTTAGCTAACCGGTGAACTGTATCGTAAGCTAAATCACCCTTATTTCATTTGTCCCTTAAGATCATACCCAAGTCTGATAAAGTTCCATCGCATTCCAAATAGTCTCGTGCAAGGTAAAATCTAGAGATGTAATGTTCATTCTCCCTTAGGGGTCCACGGAAGTTAGCAGTTCGCAATTTCAAGTCAATGCATGGAATTCTCACTTTGGGGAAGGTTGGGCTCTACGGAGGAGTGGCGTCATAGCATTTAGATCAATATGTTACTCAGTATAACCTTGATTGAATATCAGGATATAGCAAATCAATTCCTCGATGGTCTGGTCCGATGTTCAAAACAAGTAAGGGTATCTATAGATAATTGGTTTGATACCTACCCAATTATTTTTTGCGAGGTGACTAAAACAAATAAATACAGCCTCACTTTCAAAAATCACTCAATTAAGTATAAAGCAGACGATCAAGTTCTTGTCTTGCACATTACAAACATTTTGGAAACATATATTTAGAAGGATTAATGACAATGTCAAACCAATATATATCCTTTAGCCTAATCGCACAAAGTATTCTAATCATTGTCAATTTAGGATATTCAGCTGGATCTATGACTTCTGATTCATTTGTTTCGAATTGTAATGCCGGTTTAGGTTATTCGGAAATTCATCGTTCTTTAAGTACTCGAAGCCTTCTGATGTGTTCTGCGGAGTGCTCCAAGGATGTGAATTGTGTGGCATTCAACTATAATAAAGAGACGGGGCTGTGTCAGCTGAGTGATAGCTGGTCCGTGACTGCCGGGGATTGTACTGGGCTTGTCTCCATGCCAGGGGTCAAGTTTTATCATCTTACGCAGGTAGTTATGTATCCATAGCAATTCTGAAAAAACAAGAATCAGCACTGTAATAGCAAAATATCATTTCTCCGTAGCTGTTTGCCGGATTTCCATAAATAATAACCCCATAAAGTTCAATAGTTCGCACTATAGAAACAATTAAAAAATAAAATGAAAATGCCATCAGATGCTCAGATTAGGCAAAATAAGGTTAGACAACTTTAGGTTCTTATCATCATGGATGCGCGATTTGTTTACATTTCAGGGAACGGGCATGTGTAAAAATAACGGAGTGTACAATAGAGCGAATAGTCCTATTCGCGTTACGAGATTACTGGTCATTAACATAAATATTTCCCGCAATGCAACACGATAAAATGGACAATTTTCTATTGGTCCGCAAAACACAACGTCATAGGCATTATCCCGATTCAACATTAGTACATATGTATAAATAATATTCTATAATCCAGACAATAATTAGAAAAGAAGATGGAAATTCAATTTGCTTCGATTATTTTTTCTTTGGCCTCTGAGCAAGTTCCGGGAACTGAGCAACTTCCGGGAAATCTGTGACGTCATTGAATTTTAAACTTAGGATTTTGACGATTCTGGTGAATATATTTTTTAAAAACTTGTCAAATGTCTTTATAATGATCATATCTATCGTATGTGCAAATATAATTCATGATTAACCTCTAATAAAGTCACAATGCGTCATTGAAAAACACAGCCAATGTTATTCCAATGGGAAAGTGCCCGGATGTTGAGAAAGTTGTACCACGAAACTGAACTCTCCCATGCGGAGATAAGAATATTTCGCACGTTTAAAGTTAGCGCGTATAGGTATATTGTACTTGTGGTAAACGCTTTAAATTCCATACTTTTCAGGGGGCGTGCAAAAATGATGCAGTTTACAATGGAACAAACTGTATATGTGGTAAAAGCTCGTACGGTGATTTTTGTCAACACTACATTTATGGTAATTTTATTTGCCAACAGTTCAATATTTCTTGCATTTGTATATTGCGCATAGTTTTATACTGAGGTAAAATGATACTAAAAAGGTATTAAAAAGTTGATAATAGCAGACCTCGAAAATTGTGCACGTTTACTTAATTATTAATCTCAAAAAGACCCTCGCGGAACAGTTCTAAAGTAATAAAACCCATATTCCTAGTATGTTACAATAACACGATAATCTTCAAAATAAGAAGGGTTAATTGTTTTGCTTAGCTGGTAACTTAACGGCTAAATATATTCAAAATGTTTAGAAATATGCCTGTCTGGCAGGCCCGTTGCCAGAGGGGGGGGGGGGGGGTCGATGGGTGCGAGCGACAAGTGAATTCATAATGCACTTTTTAAGAAAATGACACTTTACTCATATTGATAGCGGTTTATAATGGCAGCAAATGGGAATTTTCCAAAATTCAAACGCCAATATCTTTGGAACGAGGCAAAAGGAACAAAAGCATCTTATTTTGAAGATCGTGTTATTGAAAACTACCAAGGAATATGGATTTTATGACTTTAGAATTGTTCTGTAGGGGGTAGATTGATAAAGGAGGGGGAGTTGTTTCTAGAATGATTCGGGGGAGTTTTTCCATGCATTTCGCTTATGTTTTCCATCCAAAAACCATCAATACACTTAAAAGATTTTATTGACAATAAAATTGCACCAAAATCTCCCCCAAAAATATTTCTCATTTTCAAGGATTATCTATGGATTAACACCCAGGTATTTTCATTTTCCAAACTTCAGAGGACTTGGAATCATTAAACATATTCGCTTTTGATTAATAGAAATGCTGTTTTAAATAGGTTTCATGTATGCCAATAATTTCTCAAATTGTGTAAATGGTACACATTCCTTAATCCCTAGAATTTTCTCTTTGAGGAATTCCCATTGTAATCCAACGGTACACTTCCAAGCAGATTTTTAGATTACAGGAAAGTAAATCTTTAATACACACCTTTTTGGGTTGCGATATAAACCAATTGAAACAAAGGTTATTGCAGTAGCCGACTTCATGAATAGTATAAAAGGAAGTTTTATATTTCATATATGGTTCATCTAAAAAACCAACCCCCTCAGTTTCTCCAATCTCATAACTGTTTTTATTTTCACATCCTAGATTGTTCGCACGGAGAATCTATGTTTAATTTCGTAAGTGCAGACAATGGGGTGTTTACAATACAACCAGAGGACTGTCCCTATTCATTTGACGTTCATTGTTCATTTGGCTGGGGAGGAAATACTCAGCTTATGGTAAGTAGAGTCAATAAAGAGCATGACCTTGAAAATGATCAGCTTGGTAACCAGGGGTCATAAAGTTTTGCGATACTTCAAAACTGAAAAAGATGACGTTTAAAAAAATTTCAACTTGCCTCAAATTGACCAAATCTTTTTTTAAATATGATCGGTCTCAGACGTGAGATTTTTCTTGAACTTCAGTGGCCTTCGTAAAAAGGTCCTCGTTTATTATGTCAAACAACGTCTGTGGCGGTCAGGAAAACAATTTTGAATGTCGTAATCGTTGTACTAAGTCGCAAAACCTGTTTTCTGATTTTCCATTGGAACCGAAGATCAACACTTTGGACTAAAATTGAAGATATTCATTTAAAGGTTCTACACAAAATAGATTTTGACTTTTTATAATTTTTTTGCAGCAATTTTTGAGATATTAGAACAACTGTAATTAGTTTCAGCATTTGTTAAGGTCGTATCGTTTTTCAAAATCTTTTACAGGTTATTTTAGGAATGGTGTCCAATTATCAAAATTGTGGAAAAACAAGTTAACTTCGTAATGGTCTATGCCATATTGTCCTCCCCCCGTAGTGAACCTTTAAAAGTGTTGATTTGCCGTTCTTGTGAACACTTTTGTTAGACATAAAATACAATAAAGACTCGAATTCACGTTTAAATTTCCTAATTTTGTTTACGTTTTTAATGTTCAACTTCGACCTGTTGTTTCATTTCTGAGATTTTTTGCATCAATAAAGTTTTAATTGGAATTCTATAGATGGATTGGTTACTGAATACGTTTGGTTTTTGCCAATGCCAAAAAATGTCTAGTTGGTGTCTCTTCACGTTGATGCCATACTTGAATTCCCCGGATCTAATTTCTACGCCGGACGAAAAGTGCATTATGCTTCATATTACATTTTCCCGGGGACAAAAAATATTTCCACACTCACGAAACCATCATTTATCCCACAACCTCTTCCGCAACTGTCGACCTTTTGACACCATCCCTCACCAGAAGTTCATATCCGATCTTTCCACTTTGATTTGTAATTTGACCTTTCGTTACATCCTAAAAGTAAAAAATTCAGTTAATTGCTTAAGGAATAAATAATGATAGGCCATTCAATATGGTGAAATTCAGCACGAGTTGGACAGAATGTTGTACAAAGCACGAACCGAAGGTGAGTGCATTTGTACTAACATTCTGTCCAACGAGTGCTGAATTTCACCATATTGAATTGCCTATCATTATTTATTCCGATTCAAACATAAAAATTAGTAAAAGCCGTGTCTGTGGAACGGGCATGAAGGAAGAATACGCATGCTATCAAGATTCTGAAGTCGGCCGGAAAAATTTTAGAATTTGTTTGGGCTGTTCTATTTTACTCCCCGTTTTAGATTTTATACGGTGTATGAAACATGGGGTGTTGATAAAATAGTTGCAGTAGTTACGGAGGGAGTAAAAAAGAACAGCTATCCCCGGACAGAGCCCCAGATGTGCAGCTGAGATGACGTCACTCAAAACAATGCAAATTGCAGATTGAATAGAGCACGGTCGTGCATCTATGGAGAATTAGAGATTCAAACATGACCGTGCAATTCAAACATGACCGTGCTCTATTCGAATTTCTCAACCAATCAGAATGCAGCATAGCCAATATAGAACGTTCTCTAATTCTCCATAGATGCACGACCATGCTCTATTCAATCTGCAATTTGCATTGTTTTGAGTGACGTCACATCTCAGCTGCACATCTGGAGCTCTCATATCGAGATTTTAGCGTCATTTTACCACGTGCTTTTAAACCTATTGTTATTGTCACGTGATTCCGCTGATCCAATAGCGTTACAGTAATCGAGTACTAAAACGTCCGCGCGAGGTTTTATAAGTCGCGCCAAATCTTGTTTACAGTGTAGGCTAAACCAGATCATAACAAGAGGAGTGCGAGTAGATTTCCTGTCTTATTTTCAAAACAAAGCGGATCTTAGGCCCAGTAAAATTAAATTACTATCCTACTCTGATGAGTACGATGTAGATCGTATCATAACAAAGGTAAGTTATGTCACGTTTCTTTGATGAATGGTACATTTCATTCAGATTTATGAGATTGAAATCAAACACAGAATTGGACTTGAAGTTGAAATGATGCAGAAATCATTCAAATCATAATTTGACAGTTGATAAAATAGAATTAAATTTAGCCGCATACAGCTGTTTGGACGATAAATAAATGATAAACAATGGATGGTGGTTTGAAAGTCTATAGTTTGCAATCGTCTACGTCTGGCTATCCACTAAAATTTGTTTATTTTACATTTTTTATACTCTCATCTAGGCTATTGATGTATGGTTGGCCTCTTCAGTGAAAATTCCCAATTATTTTTAACATGTGAAATCCTTACTTCAGCAAATCCACAATTTATTATTTATCGTTCGAACTATACTAGATTCTATATAGGTAGATTGGCGCCCCAGGAATCTGTGCATTGTTCATTTAGCTTAGCATTCATCAATGAAATCGTGTAGCCCACCTTTGACAAATAGTCTGGTTTTCCTTTTTCAGTCAACTAGTCTAGTAAAGGTTATCTAGTAAAGTGGAAGGGATTCAGCCTTTGGGATAGTACGTGGGAGCCCTTAAACAGCAGATGCTCCAGCACATTTGAATACATATACAGGTATACATTCGACCTCCATGATTTTACATAAACATTGTCAAAGCCCATTATGAGACTTTTTAACAGTTTCAATTCAGTCTGAATTAATATTTTTCTGCAAAGTTTTGGCGAGCCAGTTGCCTCGCATACATAGACCTATTGCATAGCCAATAGCCACTGTCATAGAGTCAAGTTGTTTGTCCAGTGCCCGTCCAGTGGCATCAAATCAGACTTGAAATTGTTTGGAAGCAATATTTTCAAAAAGCAACTTTGTTAATGTTTGTAATGATCCAAATGAATTAGGCCTTCAGTTGAGTATATCTCATCGTGTTCGTCACATTATTCAGTACATTGGACAGTCCCTGGCCATGAATTCATCCAGGACATAAGTACCCTTCTTAAATGAATTTTATTCTTCGAAACCCTTGCCTATTTTTGAATAGTATGGCAATCATAGGCATTACATTTATGGATCATCAGCTTAATAAAAAAGTATACAGTCAGTTTGCCCAATACAACTGAGGGCCGCACAACCTATAAGATATTGAACTCTGTCTTGACATTACCTACAGTATGTCAAATTGATCTCTATGTTAACATCATCAATATGGCATTGATCTTTGTGTTAACATCATATATATAACAATGGATCTCCATGTTAACATCATATTCACCTATCTATATAACATACTAAAGTGTAATGTATATTAAATACAATTTTGTTTTAATTCCAGTGGAGAAAACCAGGCTGTTCAGCAAAAACATAAACCATCCGTAGAAGCGCTACGTGTACGAACAAGGAAATCAATGACTGCACCATACGCTAGGAAGACGCGCAGATGGAAAAAACAAAAGCCCAAGTATAACTGAAATAAAAATTATATTGTTTCCGAGAGCTATGGTGAATTGTAAAATTAATCAATTCATACCTCTCTTATACACTATTTATCTTTTAAGCATGGGCCATTTTTCATGATTTGCGCATCGTTCTAGCGTATGGGGCAGTCTTATGACTGGCCCAGTGCCCCATGTATGCTAGGAAGGCTAGAAAGCCATAGCTTTAATTATAAACTGGAAAATAAATAAATTTAAATTAATCAACTCCTCCAGTAGAGAAAATGAAAAGAACATCGTTGCAACTTACAGTGTTAAATAAGTTGTATTATGAATAAAGTACGTTATAATTAAACATGTTAAATGTGTGACGTTTTAGCTATTTATTGTTGGAAAACGGCGTCGTATTTCAAAAACGACCTTACTTGTAACTTGTCAGGAAGAAAAGTTATTAAATGTGGTGTAAATAAAATATGTTAATATAAACGTATTAGTCGTGTTCTTTCATTTCCAACCCTGAGCTAACGATTTAAAAGAATATTAAAGGCAAAAATTACATTTGTATAACGCCAATTTCGCCATTTTTGCACTTTTTTCAGATCGGTTACATGTAAAGTATAGGAATTTTTGCCAAAAAACTGTTTTTTCTGGGGGAAGAAAATATTTTCATAGTTGATCGTCAATTTTTTGCACAGTTGACCTTTGTTAGTATCTTCACCATTTCTAACCCTGAGCTAATGGATCAATTTAACATTTTTTTAATTATTTGATATTCAATTTTGTCCTATATGGACATCCCATTAGAATTCTGCAATGATGCATGCGTGACGTCACATTATGTTAATTAGCAAATGACGTCAAAATCTCGATATGTGTCGGCCGAGGATAGCTGTTCTTTTTTCGAGGTCTCCTCTGCCGAAGGCAGCGCAAAGTAGGAGCGTAGCGACTACTTTGCGGGAGACCTCGTTTCGAGGTCTCCTCTGCCGAAGGCAGCGCAAAGTAGGAGCGTAGCGACTACTTTGCGGGAGACCTCGAACCATTGATCACGTTTGCTCCTGTAATTATTCACTTCTTCACCTCTTTAAAATGTGATTTCAATCAGTAGATCAAATTTTCGGACTTTGACCTCAAATTCAAATATTAATATTATAAGAAAAAATACTGACTCATTATTATATTTTTAAAAGTCTTTCAAATAAAGTGAAATGAAGCCAAAATCAGCTAAAATTGTGCAATGTCGTAAAATGGCGTTACTGGAATATGATGCAATCACCTGTGACGTCATACACGTATTGCCACATCAACAACTAAACAAACAATTAATATAGACTTCACTGATTGGTTTAAAGATTCTTCGCATCATTTGTGACGTCATAAACATGTTACCAAACCAACAACTAAACAAATAACAAATAGGCATATAGGTTCGTTCAGTGCCACGCTCTTGAATCAGTTATAAACAGGATAATCAACAGATATATGATAGGGTCAGTAATTTTTTTGACTTGGAGACCTCGATTCGAGGAGTTTTCTGCATTTTCTTGTTTACTCCCTCCGTAACTACTGTAACTATTTATTAACTATGGCTGACTTCAAGTTTGCAGTCGGTGAACTAGTCTTATTTAACGGGGAGTAAAATAGAACAGCCCAAACAAATTCTAAAATTTTTCCGGCCGACTTCAGAATCTTGACAGCATGCGTATTCTTCCTTCATGCCCGTTCCACAGACACGGCTTTTACTAATTTTTATGTTTGAATCGGAATAAATAATGATAGGCCATTCAATATGGTGAAATTCAGCACTCGTTGGACAGAATGTTAGTACAAATGCACTCACCTTCGGTTCGTGCTTTGTACAACATTCTGTCCAACTAGTGCTGAATTTTACCATATTGAATGGCCTATCATTATTTATTCCTTAATTAGAGAATTAGATCCATCGAGCAAAAAAACAAAATAAATTGTTTCAATTTTAGAATTTTTGGCTCGTATTATTCCTTGTCATGTCTATTGTCTAAAAATCCCCAAAGTGCAAATTTTATTCCAGGAAAACTAAGGATTTTACAATTATGTATTATTTCTATTTTCATTTTACTTTTTTGTTATTTGGGAGAATTTAAAACACCTTTCTCTTTTTTTGTACTTTAAATCCTTATTACTTATTTATTTACTTATTCATAACGTATTGCGGATGTTTTGAGCGACATTGTGTTTGAAATTATAATGAATGGATTGTTTGGCCAATTGTACATGTTGGTTGCAATTTTGTAACCCCCTATAGGTCTGATTGATTTTTTATACAAGTCTACTTAAAGTCATCAAATACCGGTATTCATTTTATATTTGCTTGAAATAGAAATTGACAACGTTATTTGTTTTAGTTACGACATCCAAATTGTTTTGACGTTGACTTTAACCGGCCATGGGCAGATTATCGTGATGGTTTTGGGGACATGAGCATTGTACCTGGCAATAATACGGCTGACTGCACGTACTGGATAGGTATTACTACTATATTATACACTTAGATCGGATTTGAAATATAATTGTAATAAAAATTTTGGTACATAGAAATCCATTTTAAAACAATGTTCAAAAAATAATTTCTCAAATCACATACAGACAGTCGGATACTCGCATGTATTCTGGTGCGTAGTCATGTAGTCCTATTTCTAAAAAAATTCCAGTTGGCTTGTGACAAAAGGACACATGTTTGTAAAAAGCACATGGAATGTGTCTATGACGAAAGGACATCATACAGCCACCTTAATCACTTCAACATCTTATTTTAATCGCTTGAATTTTAAAACTATTTAACAACACACAAAAAGCTCACGGTACGACTACAATTAACCATTACACCTTCAATTTCGTATTCCGTTCATTCTATACGCCCAAGTGTTCTTCTTTTTAAGGTTTGGAAAAGATGTACTATTTAACTAACCAAGCTTCAATTACCCAAAATAATGTGAAAACGAGGCTTCAAATGGTGTTCCAGAATCAAGCGCAGCTAGATGGGGGATCACCAGGGTGGCCTAGATATATTTCTTTCTTCGATAATTTCAAAGTTGAAAGCGAGGTATTACTTTTGATTTTCATTACTTTTAATTAGCATGTGACGTGATATTAAAGAGTTACCTTGAACGGGTTTTCTGGAAGAAAACTTATGCTTGAAGAGTAGTAATAGTTCGAGTCTTTCATACCCCTGGTCCTAAAGGACCTCCCTAACGTTTCTCGAATGTTCAGACGATTTCCTAACATTTTCGTGACGTCATCCTAACGTTGGATGGTTAACCACCGCCTATACCTCCTATAGGAGCATCAACTTTGACCTCGGACGATTTCCGAACGTTTTAGGGACCAGAGTTGACTTCCGTGAATGACTGATGATCTGATTGGTCCAGGGGTAGGAAAAACTCGGAATTGTTACTACTTTGAAAATTTCAATTGTACACAACGGCAAAGATGAACACCATCTGACAAACATAACAACTACTCATTCAGACAGAAATATGACGGTAGTGGTCTGTCTATTTACAGGGTGCCCCAAAAACTGTACCGAGGGTAGCACAAAATAAATAGTGCATGTGATGAAGCAAATATTCTTGAAATATAATCACCTAACAGACAAATTTAATTATCATAAACATCTACAAGTTTCACCAGACGACTCTTCAGTGTAGAGAAAAGTTTTAGTACCACCATCCATACCGTATATCAATCTTGTATCACCAAATTGTATTCATTTCTGAATCGATCAAGACGAATGTTATTTAGAGCATGTCATCTCATATGTCAGGAAGTAATTTACTATGATTTTAGTGGCCATTAAACATGAATTTTTCTCGAAGAATGAAAAAAGAGTTATTCTTGTCTCATTTGGGTACATTTTGGGGACACCCTGTATATCTCTCTGTATGATATAAATAGACGACCAGTGCTGCCATCTTTCTGTCTTGAAAATCAAGGACTGCGAGTCTCATACTGCACCGTTTTTCTTCAAACTAGTTTCATTCAAAGCAAAACAAATTTTTCTGTTGGTACATTGCTTTATTGTAAAGAGTTTTAGCAGTGTTTTGGTCCCCAGTTGTGAGAAGCCCTTGATTTTCAAACATCTGGTAGGTCAACAATTCAAATTAACGGTCGAAGTTAGTACCGCGTGAGATTAGACTCCATATCTAAAATTTATTTGAATATCAAGTTGCCGTGGGATATCAAGGTGCCGTGTGAGTTGTGCATATGATCTCACCTTGAAAATATGAGCTTATGAACGCAAATGTATGGCACTTTTAGTTTCTCATTTTTGCCAATCAGATCACACAAGTGCTTATATTAGGATGTGTGTTTCTAATTTATCAGTTGCATTTCGTTAAAGGAATATCTATTCAGGGGTCATTTCGGCACATACCAGACATACGGGAGTCCAGCGGGTGGAAACTCTATACATCCGAATGGTGAACCAAATTTTGATCTCAACATGGCTTACTTTTCAACTTACGACAATGATAACGACAACGATGCCGGAAATTGTGCTGAAGACTTCAAATCTGGTTGGTGGTTCAATGCGTGCGCAGCATGTAATTGGCTTGGAATATATGCCCCCACTGCTGATGGAGTCAGAAATTCGTCCATACCAAGCACGTGGTGGAAATATGACGTTGATACTGAGTCCATAACTTGGCAATTAATGGATGTTGTAATATTTCGATGACATTGTCCATTCACAGCTGTTTGTCGGAGATGTATTTCCACTAAAGAAAATACAATTCCGAGACTCAATTATTTTTTTAATGTTGAATGGAATACGGTTTCTTTTCATCACATTCAGGGACAGGCTGTTAGTACCGACCACATACATTTGCTGCTAAAATAAAAAAGTAATGAATATGTCTATGAAAATATTTGGGCCAATTTATCCCCCATATCTCAAATTAATGCATATCATCGTGAAGAAAAATCATTTGCGCTTCGTAAAAATATAATTTGAGCTAAATTCGACCATTGTCGTTAACATTACAGTCAGTTGAATATCACTAATACTTTTTTGGTGCTTTTGCAAAATGTCATTATCAATCATTGTCTAAGTAAATAGTGTAATAACGATAAACCAGTTGGAGTATATTGAACTTTTTTTTAGTATTTAAAATACTGCAGAAAACAGTGATTAACATCATTCTCCTGAAAAAGCATAAAGGGCAATATTGGTACAAAACAGATGCTATTTTGGTAGGTGCTAGGCCAGCAATGGTTAAATAACGTAAATGACTTTGTAAAGTATGACGATTAACTTTAATAGAATTAAATTAACTCATGTCTACTAACATTTAAATGAGCAAAAAGCACAAGGAGCAATATTTAAAGAACTTAAATACAAAGAAAACTAGGATTTTCTCTAATTTCTTAAACATGATAAACCATGAACAAAAGTTCAACATGAATTCGAAAATTAAATGACGGCCCTTGCCCACATACCATATGTCATATGCAGTATTGAAACAGTAGCCCACTACACTACTCTGCTATAGGCATGTACGAGATAATACCATCCAGTTACTTAACAAAAAATCAAAAACTCATTTAATGTAGGAAACCAGCTGTTTGGTACAACATGAGAGCTACTTCTTCCCTCTTCCATTCACGCTATCAATACCCTATTGTGTCTTCGTGATTAGGTGGGTTGAGTAAGCCTTGGACTGATGGGATCTACCAAAGCAAATGAGAAGATGTTGGCAGAAACAAAATTTCATACGACTGCTATACCCCCTATCAAAAATGAATGGTAATTTCACAATCTAAAATATTGTTTTTCATATAATCTCTACATCAGACCAAATCTTGAACTAACACTCCTCGAGTTATGAAAATATCAATCCTTGCATCTTCATATAATGTTGTTTACATTGAAAAGAAAGAACTATTGCATCACAGATAATAAACAAAATTTTATATTTCAACAATTATCAAAACTAATTATATTCCAAATCAGAAATCTATAGTAAATGATATGGGATAAAATATTGGTTAACAGTGGAGAGGTTAAGCTTTGCATATATAATCGAAACTGAACCTGTACGTATCACTCGACCATATACAAATTCATGTAGCATTCTCACTCATATAAATAGCCGTTCAAATCCAGTGTTTGTTTAGACTACACCATAGCGTGTAATGATTCTATAGTATGTCATTGATGCGGTTTTATAGCTGGTTTTCTAATACATATTTTAAACGAGCTCGTTTCGTAAGATTTTTGGCGCTAAATCATGCATGACATACATCATCGTGTTCAGCAAGAATTCAACTGTGCATCGAAATCAAAATTGACAGCATAGTGTTCAATAGACACGAGTAAAATGGTTCCCGTTGACCCAACGTCAAATTTCAAATCTCCGGTTCTAAACCCGAAACTCTGAAGCTGAAAGAGTATCTGAAGTAGACTAAGCGCGCATAAAACTATGAGCGCTCGATACATTCCTTTGTTAATTTTTGTACTTTGCGTTCACGGTTACGTTGTGAAAAACATCGTTAGCTTAACCTCTCCAATATTGGATAAAAACAGATTCGGGACATGATCGTAGGTGGAAAACTGAATATACCAAAAACTAAATATATTATATATTTATTAGACTCCAGATTGAAAATCTGGAGTCTATTGTTTTTGCCTGTTTTCTTATTCTTTTTTCTTTCTTTCTTCCTCCTAACAGATTTTCTCTCCAACTATAACATCTTACTTAATCCAACCTACATGGTTGACTAGGGAATGTATCTGGCTTTCTGGGAAATTAGGTCAAATTTTTATCTCGGTCAAAGGTCAAGAACTAGGCCACGTCCTACATTTTCAACATTCTGACATTTATCTTCCTACATCTTTCATCTAACTCCTTCATCTTACTTTCGTCATGTAGCTTAGAAAAAGCCCTTTCATAAGTGTGCCATCAGATCTTTCATTACTCTTACCGATTTTGAGATATGGCGTCCGAAAAGTAGGTCAGAACAGCAAAATCTCCAAATTCAACATGTGAATTATGAAATAAGTGTAGAGTTTTCTCAGGAACCCGAATCTGCAAACCAAATTTCGATCCGACTTCCGGTTCGGAAGTTATGGCGTTTTGATTAGAGATGTATCATCTGCAAATAAGTTAATATCTGTTTCCATTGATGCTACTATATCATTAATATAAAAAAGAAATAATTAAGGGCCTAATATAGACCCTTGAGGAACACCAGCTTCAAACGCCAATCTGATTCGATTCCATCAATATCTACCCATTGTTTTCTATTTGAAAGGTAACTATATTTCCATTTCAAGAGTTGGCCAGAAATCCCATGCATTTGTAATTTGAAAATAAGACCACGGTGCCAAACTTTATCGAATGCCTTGGAGATATCTAGGAAGACAAGAAGAATTTATTTTTGATCATCTAAACTATTATAGATTTTGTTCACTAAGTTCACTAACTGATTCACAGCTGAGTCAAGTGGTTTGAAACCAGAGCTTTTGAGAGTTGGTATGTTGTTTATTAAACAAAATCTATAAATAACATTAAAAACGAGACGCTCAAAAACTTTGGAAATGCAAGAAAGAAATTAAATTGGCCTGTAAGTTCCCTTGATTTGTCTATCATCTTTTTTGAAAATCGGCGAAACATTTGCTTCTTTCAAGGTTGAAGGAAATAAACCTGTTAAAAGAGAATGGTTGAAAATACCGCATAAGGATGGTGCAAGTCCTAATGCACATTCTTTTAAAAGTTTATTTGAGACATTATCTGGACCATTTGATTTAGATATATTGAGAGAAGAAAGGACTTTAAATACTTCATGCTCTTCAAATTGAATTAGATCAAGTCTTGCATTAGTAATATATGTCAAGTTTGGAAGAGGCGAATCATTTTGATTAAGTGGTAAGATAGTTTGGTCGGCGAAGTAGTTATTCAAAACGTTTGCCTTACATCATCATTTTCAATGAGAGGAGGTATACCTCTTGAAATTTTTGAGCCATACAAATTTTTCAAGATAGTAAAGTATAATTTAAGTGAGGTTTGATTGTCGGATAATTTTGTTTTGAGTGAATTAGTATGGTCATTTTTTGCTTGGATGATTGCAAGTTTAACTTCGGTTCGTTTTCTACAAAATTTCTCATGATCATTTAAATTGTTAGATATTTTGAATTTATAATGAAGAGAATTCCTCTGTTTAATGAGACTTTTTATTTGTTTAGTCATCCAAGGTTTGTCTCTGTTTGAAACTGTAATGATATTTCTGTGTACATACAAATTCACACAGGACCAAAATAGCAGGTACCAATCTCGAAGAATGTCATCTATGTTAATGTTGTTAAAATAAATTACCTCCCATGGTAAGGAGAGAAGATGGTCGACTAAAAGCACAAAGTTTGTGTTTTTGTAGTCAAATATTGTTCGTTTATATGTAAGTTTTGCTTCACGCTTAAAATTGAGTGTGCCAAAAATGAAGCAGTGGTCAAGATTTGCATGTGGTTCACATACCCCTGAATTCAAAATAAAAGCTGGGGAATCTGTTATTATAAGATCAAGAATAGAGTTACCTCGAGTCGGTGTTTGGATCATTTGATAAAGATTGAAATGAGAAAGTAAGTTTGTTGCTTAATTCGCTTTGATTATGTTGGGAGTCCCATGAAGTGCAAGAGTCATTAACATCATCTAGTAAGACAAGAGAATCTGGTTTCAGATTCACTACTTCATTCAGATTTTCAGATAAAAGATCAATAAAATGGCCAGCCTCAGTTTGGTTCATTCCTGGAGAACGATAGCAAGTAAACTTGATTTGTGGGTATTCCAGTGGGTTGATGGATCTTTGGCTCTGAATTCACTTAATTGGCGTACCTAATTTCAACATTTTCATTGTCATCGTTACATGTTATGGACCCGTTTTTCAAATAAAAGTATTAGGGATAAAACCATAGTTTTTTCATCTGTAATGGCATTTTCCAGTTGATTGGTTTATATATAGTATTTTCAATTCTTCATGAGGCGGGTGTCTTGTAATGGTGTGGCTAATCACTTTACTGAGTGAGGAATGTTTATTCAAACAATAGATACAAAGAAATCTGGCCAGTTGTCCATCAGTAAATAAATCATCATGATTAAAGTATAATTAAATATAGCATCCATTTGTTACCGTTCTGAATCCAAATGATACATAGTGGCATCCATTTTATACATATATGTTGACGTTTACGAAATGTTTTTCAAATATCTTCCCTATAACAGGAATATGGAAGCTGAAACTTTCACCCATTGTCATACTATGTATATTGAATATGTATGCAAGATTTCAAGTCACTATGTTAAGTAGAAACTCTGAGATCACTCACTTCGATTTGCTGTCATATTTTTGCAATGATCCCATTCCCTATAATGTACGCGAGTACCCACGATACATTGCATATAAATGACTGCATCCACATAGATCGACTAGCCACAGTGTACCAAGTAGAGTTTTCAGGGGCATATGGCCACTGTTTCAATAGTACAAGGTGTAAACATAAACAAATCTTTCAAATGCATTCCACTTTTAAATTTTATATTGTAGCAGGAAGATATGCACCGAAGCGGGAGATATGGTGGGAGATATGGAGATTCTGGATATGGAAACCTCAAAATCAGGATACGGGATATATTTTACCAACTTATCTCCCTAAAACTCTACTTGGCATAGGATAAATAATGTTATTAACTGAGAGGGATTAGATATTGAGTTTATTGCACTTGACAAAATGATATCTCTAGAGGGTTTGAAGGAAATATCATATTTCTCTAGAAGTGAAAACTTAACTGAATCACGACTAGGGAATAAGCTATTTATCCTATGATATTTTCTTGAGATGTTATATCATACTGTTTTTTCTTGAAGTGAATATGATCATGACGGATGATAAACATTTTGATATATACTGTAAACGTTTGATTTTCATAGATCCAAATTATTCTACTCAATAATCTGTTTTTGACAAGAACGGAATAAATTGAACAATAGTACAATAGTACAACAACGTCATTTCGAAGGGCAATATAGTGAAATATTGGACCGAGGGCCGACGTTATTAGTATTATTAACACCGTTAATGACCAGGACTGAAACAGCAAGAAAATCTCACGCACTGAACGATATTTAATTTCCCGGGGAAAATTGCCGGTCATTAACTGCATTATTGACCGGCAATATGGACCGCCACTATGACGTCACATATTGCTCAGGTCGAAACAGGAAAATGAATGCCTTCTAAACTAGCACTAAAACCCCTAGAACTGGCCCGGTAAGGTGGTAATAATGTACGTCATGTACACTTCTTGAATGCGTCGAATAACATTTTGTCCAAATCCAATGAAGCAAACTAAGGCCATTGAGTGTGTATGTTTGCCCAATTCAATTAACACAATGACAAGTAGTACACTTTTTGCCTGACCCTTACTATGTAACTTTGTATTGTATTTCTGTTTACTGCATTTAAAAGTCAAGTACTCGTAGAATACTGTAATTTCACTTAAAAGCTTATTTCACTTATCAAAGGTATACAAAAAATGATAGTTTGAAACACATTTAGCACAACAAAATCCATGTACACAAATATTGGAAATCCAAGATGGCTGCCACAATTTTAGTTCCATGCACATTTGAAGATGTAAGAAATAACATTATCAATTTATTGTAACCACATCCAAAATGAATGGCGGTCTGACATAAACTGTGTGTACTTATACATGTTATATCTAAGTCTGCTTTTCGTAATTTTACTACTACCTACAAAACCAAAATTAGAGAGGATTTTTTGAAATTCAGCAAACGATAGAGATAACTGGCGAAAATCATGTTGAAATAGATTATCTGAAGTCAATATACATATTGGGGACTCCATTACCGAAAGAATACAGTGAGTCACTAGAGGTAAACTGACTCAGTGTTGATTAAATCAATGATCTTTATACCTCGATTCCTCCGTCGAGAAAAATGGCGATCCAAACGGCAACGAACAGATGAACTGTACGGCGGTATTTTTGACGCTGTACGTTGCCGATGGTTAGGCGGTTACAATGGAGGTTACATGTTGAATCACAAGGTTTCAATTGCTCCAACTTATTACACCTTGAAATCTAAGATGGGGGGTTAATCACCATCAATATATATACATGTTTTTAGAGAACTTTGACGTGAACCTTTGGAATTATGGTTCTTTTGGGATTAGTTCCCCCTTTTATTTACTTGACCGATTGACTGCAACTACGAATGACGTTAAATGATGCTTTGCTTGTCGATTATATTAAACGTGAACTCGCGAGGGGAAATTAGGTTCAACAAAAATCTGTCATGAGTGTTGTTTGCATTTGTCCCTGGAGCTTTTTCAGGATAATGAAAGGGTACCGCTAGTACATGCCCCGGGGTACATGCGTACCAGCAGACCATAAGCCAGCCGGGGATGGCAATTTAAAAAACCCAGTGTGTTCAAATATGACAATTTTGACTCAAAATCAACTGCATGATTATGAACGGATATACCATGCAGGGGGAAGGAAGAGGTTCGAACCCCCGACCTGGCTTCGGGCCTGTATACCTAGCGGTCAGTGCCAGTATATAAAACACGCCCCGTGGCTCCTCAATCGAATTTCCAATACGAATACATTTTAGAGTATTCATAACCTAAATGAATGAATCTCAACTTGGATATCTTGAATCTTTAAGTACAACGAAGTGTTTTGAAGTTCACTTGTACAATATTCTATTTCTAAATCATTCATCCCTTCTTTATTTCGCACTTCAATATAATTATTCCGCAATGATGGGTTGTTTACCACAATAGATTTAAACTACGTATATCCAGCTTTTGTAATAGATAAACCAGCGGAACGAAGATCTCGTTTGATAATATGTAGGATGATTTAGAGGTGGATAAAAAAATCATTTTTCATTACATCATCGGCGAAGGAATATTGGTTATTTATCCATACGAATATGTTTGCTATTTAACTGGACTCCGGAAGCCACCCGATGCTCCGATACTATTTTATTTCCTAACCTCACATCGTAACTGATATCCATGTGTCACAGTCATAAAGGGTTTTTACATTCATGCACAGTTTTCCAGTTTTTGTACGAGCTCGATCAAATACTCAAAATACTTTTCACTCAAGGAGGATTGGCTCCCAGAGTGCAACATCGATATTCTGTCCCATATATGGACATGTCGTGATACAAAATTCGAATTCGAACAGCCGCCATTTTGTTCACTTCAACATTTGAATCGTGAATTTTGGTCTTATTTCCTAACGAAAAGTTCCAAAACTCACAAAAAATGATCGAGATGTTGGTTCGAATCTTCTGAACTGTTTATTTTGAATTTATAGTCGGTTATAATTTCAGAAAATAACGACATAACGACGTTTTCATCGTAGGAAAATATCGAATGTCGATCCTGAGAGCCAATCCTCCTTGGTTCCAGTGAAGAAATGCGTTTTGAAAACTGTCCACTTTCGGTCAATTGGGCTTCTTACCATATATGGCCAACTAATATAATGCTTGTACCTTTAAAATATATCCAGAAATTAAAACCGGGGGAATTTTAGAAAACATTGGGAAGATTTCAGTTGAAAGGTAAGAGAAAATATGGCGTATTGGAAGAAATTCTAATCGCCCGTGAAATACTTCATAATATTAATATTTTTCCTGATTTATTAGAGACCCTGAATTATGAGGTGAGTGCAAGAAAATTAAAGTAGTACTTACTTAAGAAAAAGTTCTAATAAATACAATTCGCTAGAGAGGAAATAGCAATAAAACATTAAATGGTAATCAGGTTTCAGTTGAGTAACTATGAGTAGAAAGAAATCAATTTAGAAAGTATGTAATAAGATTAAATACAAATCATTGTCTTAGTCTACTGACGTTTTCAATTTGTATGGGCAATGAATACAACGTACAACTGTTGTACAAATTAGAATCATGTTTCTACGTCCATTTTTTATTGTATATTAATTGTACCAAACTGCAACATTAGTGAACTTTGATTCCGTATAATTAAACCAGATGTTATTTGACACCGCAGTTGTTTTGTATTTGTCTGTTGAGTAAATATACTAAAGCTTGACACATTTTTTCGTTTCGGGATTCACAATTGCCCAATCCATCTTTTTCTATTGATTCTGAATATTGCATTTTTGTTACTGGAAACAATTTGCATTCTGTAACATTGTTCTGGAAAGTTTTTTATTGAGCTAAAGGTCTAAGCATATAATAAATAGTACGTCAACCTGATGATACTCGATACCATATCGCCGTTTTGTTTTAACTTTCCGGGAAATCTCATTTCTCTGGAGAATGATAGGCTCAGGTGTAAAATGTACAACAATAAATCAACGTTAGGCGGTTCTTGTCTTTAATCAAGGAACATTAATATGGAAATATTCAAAGATTTAATATAGCAATATCTGGAAAAGTTTATTTAAGCATAAAATTGTTGCGACCTAGTTGCTATGGTAGATGAACGCGGTTGCTAGGCAACGCATCTTCAATTTCATTGCACTGATTGGATGGCATCACAAAGTGCATCTTGCCTAAGAGCCGTGTGTACATGATACATCTTTTAACTCCTCTTGCAATTGAAGAGCACTATATAAGTTGGACTTTGCGAATGCGAGATCACATTTCTTAGAGAAGGCAACAATAAATTGTGAACTTTGTGAGCAAGGTATTACTGGGCCCAAAACTCGTGAGTAAAGCAAAAAACGTCTTATTAGGTTTATTTGTCGCAAATTGGCAAATTAATTCTAGATTATTAAAATACATTGGTCTCACTGACCTCGGACGTACAGGAACGCAAGCCAAATCAGATGTTCTCAGTTTACAATTAGATTCCAATGAACAAAGTAAAAAATTACAGCGAGAAAAATATGACGAGAAAAAGTCATGACATTGATGCGTATTCAGTGTAGGATCCATTCAACAACTACATCTAAGATGAATCTTAGAGAAGCACATACTTCTGGGAGATCAAATTATAAACGGACTGTACGAGGGCCTTACTATATTTCACATGCATGGTTTGCTATAGGATTTATCACATTCGCAACATTCTTTGACCAGGGTAAGTATTTTTTAGATTTGATTGAAACGATGTAAAAGGGTACATTTGTTTTCAGTGAGATCTTGACTAATTACACATATCATGAAATGCAATAAATATCAAAAATAAACTCGTGGTTGTATATCTCATGGTATCAGGTCATAGTGACCAGTGATTACAATGTACAGTGTCAACAATTATACACGGTGATTATTTTGTTAATTCTGATATAAAATATACCTACTCTAAAATAAGTGTATACTACTCCAACTACTATACGGTCGATAGTAGACACTCACTGTTAAAATCGAGAAACTATATGTAAAATCATTACCAGCCCTCTGTGAAAAAGTCGTATGTTTGCTATTTAATTTTGATATATTATTTGAAAATATTTGCTGGGTTCACCAAATGGTCATGAGGATTGAGGATATGAGAAAAGCCTAGTACGCCAACTAGACACAATATAAACACAACTTCTTTTCGCATGTACACCCCCCGCAATAACCTTGGAAACCATATGTCTTCTCCCATGCTCTTAAGTTATCACCCGGGCCTTAGCTATCACCCGGACCTTTTGAGGTCACTTGAAATCGTCGAATGAGTGGGGATATTAAGTCTTACACGTTTCTTAAGAAAACGTGTACGTGTGCGTGGAGAATAGTCTTTTAGGGATAAGTTATCCCCTTCGTAGTTTATAGTCAAGGGGCAGTAATTCCCTGGTGTCAACACATTACACGTTCACGTGTGTTCTCTTAAAAACACGTAGCTTAACCCCTGTAAGGTTCACGTTACTCAAAATGTTTCACAACCAAAATGAGAAGCTATAGCACGGTTTGATAAGGTCGTCCTTCTTTATAAATACGAAAATTAAACTTTGAAAATCGAAACAAAGAGCAAGTCTAGAAATGAGACAAAAGTGTACAGAAACAATGATTCCTTATTAATTCAATGTTTACAAACAACTGCTTGCTTTTTCTACTGACAGATGTAATTAACACAGTTCATGTAGAATACTAGTAACTACTATTCTCGTAGAAAGTGGATAACACTCTCGTTAGATAAAGTGTTAAGTCAGATGTTAATGAATCCCAATCGGAAAGCACTTTGTTTTTCCTTACATTTAATAGATTGTACCAGTACTCCCTTTGGTTTCAATCTTAATGTCAAAGGATTTCTTCAGTGCTGGTTTTCAGCCTAAGGGACTTGTTAGGGGTTGTTGTTGTTGTTGTTGTTGTTGTTGTTGTTGTTGTTGTTGTTGTCGTTTTTATTATCATAGTACATTTCACTATAAAGACCGCTACAAAGCTGTCGAAGCAAACATTAGTTTTATTAATTTTAACTAGAGTAATTCGTCGTTGCTACTGATGAGGCAGACGAGGCCGCAACTGCCTCTTTACATTTTTCAGATTTTTCAGTTAAGCTTCGGCCTTTCTTTTATATTTGCCATGACGATTTTTTGGATCCTGTCAATGCTCCTTGAGAAAAAAATTCAAAATTGGTCCAAAATTTTAAAAATTCAAGGCCTATTTTTGTTATTTTGCCTAAAAGGCCCCAGAAAACCAAATAATGCCAAAAAGGCCTACTAATTGAGGCCCTACAATTTTTTTCGGCCCAGCCCCATTGGCCCCCTGGAGTCGCCAGTGGTACCCCTGGGTATAATTTGAAGAGGCCCTACGTCGCAATAATACATATGACAGCAATCAATGTTCATTACAATCGATTGGTGCCTTTGATCACCTCGAGCATCACTCGGAAACATTTATCTCTAACGACCGACACTTTCCATTAATGTCAAGCTTTGAGTGTCATTGCCTGTAAACGCACTGAAGCTAACGGTAAGCATGTCTATGATGAGGGCATATCAAACAATAGACATCCCAAAGTGAATATACGTGCACATCACACACTGATGAGGACGAGGACCATGTGATCAGGCCCAACTAGCGTTCATCTTACAACAAGAGACCCACGAGGTCCAAATACCAGTTTTCCTCAGACCTCTGCCACATGCTCTACCGTCTACGGCGACTGCACGTTAACCTTAGTTCATGGAATCAAAAAGATTCCGCGGCACACATATAAAAACTTTAAAGTCTGAAAATCATCCCATTTTCTTTGAAATTTGGCCTAAAATTTAAAAAAGGCCCAGTTATGAGCAAAATTGACCACTAATTGGGGTTCTAAAAAAAATTATGGCCCCAATGTTTTTTCTGCCCCAATCCGCCATCGACTTCAAATGAAGAATTCACTAACTTTCAAACGACATTCATGTTCACGCTCTTGTCTCGAAATCAGGTGAAATACGATCTCTGGTATTCTGAACTATAAGACTCTCTCTTAGATAATCTATATTTCATTAGTGAGAGAGAAATCTTTATAATCCTTCGCAACTTTGTCGTGATGGATCTTATGGAAACACAAAAGCCAATCCAACTATGAAAACGATGATATTGCATAACCTTATATTCTAATTTCAATTATGTTTAAGCCCGCAGATAAAAGACAACTTCGTGGCTTTATATTTAGTGTTTTCTGGTGTGTAACATATTACGTCATCAATGATGCTTACCCATTCATGCGAAACTACAAATATCTCCCACTGGACCGAGTCTGTCTGATATTTGCTTTCACTCGTACAATATGATTGAACAGCACGTAAATAAATGCTTGAAAAAGATTCAATGAGACAATCACTAGTATCAGCCTGCGGCTCCACCGTCGACGTTAATCAAATCAATCGGTAATGTCATGGCTGAATGAGCGCATCTCTATCCCTAACTGAAAAGTTGGGAGATACATGATAGTATGTGCAAAAATAAATTGTAAAAGACTAAAGGAAGTGGACTTATGCTCATACATCTGCTGTAAACTTATCGTTTTTCTTGATTTGATGTAAAGCATTTTAAACAAGGATTACAAGAGGTTTCAAAAGTAAGGTAACTTCTTCAATAAATCCTGTATCATATACGAGCCAAATCTAGCTGATGTTTGCGCCTAGTGCATATATCAAGATAACTGATTGAATTATGAGGTGGTATTAGGTTTTATACGTGAACAGTATCGATCATGCCTTTCTATCGTCGTTGAACACGGTAACCCTAAAATACAAATAGTTGTGTTTGTATAAAAAAGGACCCGGGCGCCAGGCTATCCGAAAGCGACGCCTATAAAACACTGTAGCATTAGCCTATCGTCAGTAATATCTGACAGAAGCTAAGATCCGGATGAAAAGGTGATGTCTTTGTGTCAGTATTTCCCAAAGGCCAAGATTATCTTTTACATTGGGCTCTTTTGCATAATATGAAGAGCTCAAATTATGTAATAAACTAATAATTACGTACCCAAAATATCTATCGTTTTAACGTCTTAAATTTCCTACTGTAACAGTAGATTTAGTTGTAATCGATTTACGCATAGCTACCGAAAGTGACTTTTACACATTGTGGACCATTTGCATGGCAGCATCATGATGGTAGCCATCGAGAATGGAAGAAAACAGGGGATCGATGCAAGACCACTCAATTCTTGGTGTTCATTTTTCAAGAATGTTCTCAGATCATAACGGCTCTTTAACACGGGGTTAAAAATGATGCTGGTAGTTCTCTATTTTTTTCAACAAAATTAGATAACATTAAAACTGGTCCGTCGCCCATTCTTTCTGTCCCATTGGATTACTTTCTGAGCGACGCCCACTTCTCAATTGAAACCTTGTTTCGCGCATCTTTGGAAATCATTTGCCGGGAATGGTTGGAACCAATATTCCTGTTATTATGATAAAGATTTTCTAAAATATTTAAGTTGTTCACAGAAAAAACCTTGGTGAATTTAACTGCCCGATGTGCAATTCTAAAAATGTTCGAACCCCGGACTTTGTTGAAAAGAAATCAGTGAACTACCAGCATCATTTGCAAACCCGTGTCAAAGGGCCGTTATGACCTGAGAACTTTCTTGAAAAATGAAACACCCTAGCGCAAATACACCTGCAAGGATCGTATAGACTTGCAATGCAAGACTCCAACGTTTACTCAAATATCCATTATATATCATTAAGGTCCAGTCTTTAATTACGACCGTGTCCCTTTAAACCAATTTATACAATTTAAAACAAAAGTTTGAGATTAATTGACAGTTGTACAAATGGAATCCACATTTGTATTAATCCAGCGTTCACTTGTTTGTTCATTAATCCGATAACCCAATGTACTCCTTGATTTCTATATCATTTGTCGGAATTTCAATCTGGCCCAATGGTATTGACGAGGTCTTCACGACCTATTACCAAATATGATGATATTTGCACTATGTGGTGTTTTAGAAACAAATATTTCTGTCACATTATAATCTATTTACAATATATATAGAATGGTTAAAGTTGCAACAAAGAAAAGCGACTGCAAATTAAAATGCGGAATAGGCTAGTCTTTGCGAAAAGCATGCCGAAGTTTATCTTAACCATAACAACCTTAATTTTATTATTTGAAAATGAGAGCTAAGATATCTCATAACCCTTATATCCCATAATTTATTGTAACGCAAGGAGCAATAATGTTAATTATGATCTGATGACATCTAACAACAATGCTCCGTAAACAGTTGCTTCATCGTAAACCCGACACTTAAAGACAATACTCCCCTGTTTTTTGATGAATAATAAGTAAATCAAATCCTTTTGAAATTTCATACTTTGTAGAAATATACAATTCATGTACCATCCTACATGACCTCAGCATTTAGATATTTGTCATGTTAGTAGTGCTTAAAGGTTATTGTTAAGAATAAGTTTATAATTTGCAAATACCTTAAACGTTCAGTACATGTTACTAGTCTTTTTTATTAAAAAATACAGGAAAACGGATGTAGTCTGGTTTTACATTGCATGTTTGTCAGATAAGCAGATTAGCTGTGTCGTTTGCGTAAACTCTGCATGCTTCAACGGGTAATACGCCGAAATTGAAAAAATAATGCCAAGTATATTATCTAAAAAAGTCCACGATATTGTATCAAATGCTTCAGTTAAT